ATGAACGAAACTAATTCAGCAAAACATTAAAAATATCATACATTGTGATCGAGTTGGACTTACTCTTGGGATGCAAGGTTGGTTCAATATGTGCAAATCGATTAAGGTGACAAACCACATAAACAAAATGATAAAAATCATACGCGTACATCAATAGATGCAGACAAAATCCAGCATGCGTTTATGATAAAAACACTCAGTAAAGTGGGAATAGAGGGAACATATCTCAACACAATGAAGGCCACGTAGGACAAACCCACAGCTAACACCACACTCAATGCGGAAAGGCCACAAGCGTTTTCCGTGAGATCAGGAATGAGACAAGGATGCCCTCCACCACTCTGCTCGACATTGTATTGGAAGCCCTAGCCACAGCCATCAGTCAAGAAAGAGAAATGAAAGGCATCCTAATTGGAAAAGATTGAGTAAAACTGCATTATTTGCAGATGACATAATACTGTATAAAGAACCTTAATCATCACAGCAAAAAACTGTTATAACTAATGAACAGATTAGGTAAAGTAGAATAAAAAAGTAGTGCTCAGAAATCAGTTGCATTTTTATACATCAATGATGAACTATCAGAAAGAGAAAGTCAGAAAACAATCCCATTTACAACTGCACCAAACAAAATAAAATACCTAATCTGTACTCAGAAAAATTATAAGATACTGAAGAAAGAAACTGAACAAGATACAAATAGATGGAAGCACGTATCATGCTTGTGGGTAGGAAACATTAACATCTTTCAAATGTCCACACTACGCAAAGCAACCTACAAATTCAATGCAATCCCTATCATAATACCATTGGCATTTTTCACAGAACTATGACAAAGAATCCTAAAAATTATATAGAACCACGAAAGACCCCAAATAGCCCCAGCAATCTTGAGAAAGAAGAACAAAGTTGGAGGTATCACACTCCTTGATTTCAAACTATACTACTAGGCTACAGTCACCAAAACAGCATGGCAGAGGCACAAAAACAGACACGTAGGTCAATGGAAAAGAACAGAGAGCCCAGAAATAAACCCGCACTATATGGTCATTTAGCCTATGACAAAGGAGGAAAGACCATGTGATGGGGTAAAGTCAATCTATTCAATAAATGGTGCTAGGAAAACTGGACAGATACATGCAAAAAAATGTATGAAACAGGATCCACCTTCTAATGCTACATATAAACATAAACTCAAAATGGATTAAAAACTTAAATTTAAGATCCAAAACCATAAAACTTCTAGAAGAAAACAGATGCAGTATGCTCTTAGTAATATTTTCTGATGTATCTCCTCAGGCAAGGGAAACGAAAGAAAAATAAACAAATGGGACTATATATATCAAACTGAAAGTTTCCACACAGCAAACCATAATTAAAAAAAAAAAAAGGCCCAATGAAAAGGAGAAAATATTTCTTCCAATAACACACTGATAAGGGGTTAATATCATACGAGTAAACACCAAAAAATCCCAAATGATCCAGTTAAAAACTGGGCAGAAGACCTGAGTATCTATTTCTCCAAAGTGGACACAGACATGTGAAAAGATGCTCAATGTCACTAATCAGAGAAATGCACATTAAAAAATAATGAGACGTCACCTCACGCCTGTCAGATTGACCATCATCAATAAATCCAAAAACAAGTGCTGGCGAGCATGTGGAGAAAAGGGGACCCCTCATCATGCTGATGGGACTGCAAACTGGTGCAGCCACTACAGAAAACAGTATGGAGGCACCTCAAAAAATTAAAAATTGGACTACCTTATGACCCGACCATTCCGCTTCTGGGTATTTATCCGAAGAAATCCGAACACTAATTTGAAAAGATATCTGCACCCCTATGTTCACAACAGCATTATTCACAACGGCCAAGATATGGAGGTGACCTGCGTGTCCATCCGTGGGTGAGCAGACGCGTGAGAAGTGGTATGTACGTACAACGGAACGCTACTCAGCCAGTGCAAAGGAGGAAGTCTCACCACGTGCTACAATGTGGATGGACCTAGAGAGCATCACGCTATGTTAAATAAGTCAGAGGAAGACGAATGTCACATGACTTCCCTTATACATGGAATCTGAAGAACAAGTAAACAGACAAACGACACAGAAACAGACTCACAGGTACAGAGAACAAACTGACGGTTGCCGGGTGGGAGGCAGGGGGAAGGGCTGGGTCAAAAGTGATTAGGGACTGGCACCTACAAAACAGTCACGGGGACATGAAGTACAGCACAGGGTTGACGGCCAGTAACGTCGTGGTAACTGTGTGGTGTCGGGAGTCCCACAGGGGAATCGCGCCGTAAGTTATCATAAATGTCTGAACACGACGCCCTACACCTGAAACTAATGTAAAATGATACTGTCAACTGTAATTGAGAAACTTTTAAATAAAATATGAAATTAGCATCTGACATTGACATGGACACCGCCTACATCATGTAACTTACTTGTCGAGGCTAAGACGTGATACCACCCTCAGCAAAGTCCTAAAAACAGGTGGAATTGGAAACCAGTAAATAACTTCGCAATTTACCCATCTGAGGACGTCTCACTCACAAAGGCAGACGGCTCCTTTATGGACGAAACTCAGCTCACTCAGAACCACATCGGGGCCCTCTCGTGACTTTCTTCCGACCCTAATCACCGCGTAACAAAGGCTGCCGGTCCCTAACCAGGACCCCGCTTTGAAAGCCTGCCTTCATGACATCACATCGGCTAGACCCCGGAGCCACAGCTTCCTGATCTGAAACACGACTACATCTTGTCAAGGTGGCGTTTTCTCTTGCAGTGGTTTTCACAAACTCCTACTTGCTTCATCATGACTTTTTCTGGGCGTCTTTTTGGATAAAGGGGCAGCAACAATGTGCCGCACAAACCCACGAAGCATTTCACTAAAACCTCATTGAATCAAGGGTGAGTCATACGTCCGCAGAGAGATTTAATCCTCTGAAGGCACCGCTCATTGAACTTCATCGACATAACTAAAATCCACACCACTCGAAACTGGAGAAGCCAACCACCAGTGTTTGCAAAGGGTTTAGTCTGCATTTTTAAAAACTCTGAAAAGTCACGAGAAAGACCGAGGTGACCGCTTATCCCCCCAAACACAAAACTTTCAGATCCAAAAAAATATTAGTAAGCTGTAAGAAAATACATCGCGAAGTGAAAATATTAACTGTGATTAAAATTATTGAATAAAAAGGAAAACATACCTTGTCCTTGGGTAAGAAAACTTTTATCATTAAAAACCAATTCTCCCCAAATGAATTTATTAGCGTTGATGAAATTGCAGTCTGAACTGTAATTTCTTCCAACAAGAAGACACATGACACAGGAGGCAGAAGAAGAGACACACGGAGCCACACGGCCACAGCGGAGCCAGCCACAGACGAGGACACACACAGTGCAGGATGGCGTTACAGAGAGATGGGCAATTATTGGCAAATAATCGCAAGTCATGGCAAATCACCTGGCAACTTCGAGATTCAAATCAAAAAATTTCTCATGACTTAAGAATTTGAATTAAAAAAACACAAAATAATTAGAAGTTAACAGAGATGAAGGTTTTATGGACTCGGTATAAATATCTTTCCCAAATGACATGAAACTCAGAAGCCGTAAAGCGAACGTGGATATACTTGGACATGTAACAATCATACACATTCTGATAACAAAAATGAAGTTTAAAGGTGTGTAAAAAATATCTGTAATGCTTGACAATCCAAAGCTTTTTTCCCAATAATAAATGAGCTCTTTGAAGTAAGAGACAACAATCTCCCCCACCCCCAAAATTAGACATAAAGAGGAAATTAAAAAATACAGATGGCTGATAAACATGAAAAAATGATCAAACTCAAAAACAAAAGAAGTACAATTTAAGACAATAGTTTGGGCTATCGCACTGGCCGAGATGTTAGACATTTCTGAAATCCGTGATCTGTGAGGCTGCAGGGAAGCTGGCAATCTCCTTTGTTGCCATTTGAGGATAAAGTTGTGACATTTTTAAGGAAATCTTGTAATAATTTTCAAAATTTAAAATGTGTACATTCTTAATCCCAGTAGTTCAACTGCTCAGTAATTTCTTACACTGTAACAGACAAGTGCAAGGTTCTTGACATGTAGGGAGGTTCGGTGCGCAGAAACCTGGCACCGCCATCAATGTGAATGAGAATGTTCAAAACACTTAATTTTTTAAATCTACGAAACAGTCACGCAGTCATTCGTTAAATGACACGGGTGTGTGTCATCAAAATAGGGAAAGGGCGTTAAAAAACGTGTTAAGTGAAATGCATTCTGTAGAAGAATGGGCATAACATGGCCCCTCCCGCAAACCCCTCCAAAACAATGTGTGTGGGTACGGGGTGGTGTGTTTGTGTGTGCATGCATGTGTGTGTTTGTGGGTGTGTGTGGGTGTGCTTGTAACTGTGGGTGTGTATGGGTATGTCTGTTTGCGTGTGTGGGTGAGGGTGTTTGTGTGCACACGCGCATTGTGAGTGTGCGCACGTGTGGTTGTGTGGGCGTGTGCATATGTGCGCACATGTGGGTTTGTGTGTGTAGATGGGTGTGTGCGCACACACATATGTGGGTGTATGAGGTGTGTTTTGAGTGTGTGCGTGTGCAAGTGTGCATCTGGGTGTGTGTGCCTGCACATCTACTCGCTGGCGTGCTTATAACCGTGGGTGTGTATGGGTATGTCTGTTTGTGTGTGTGGGTGAGGGTGTTTGCGTGCACACGTGCATTTGTGAGTGTGCGCACATGTGGTTGTGTGGGCGTGTGCATTTGTGCGCACGCGTGGGTTTGTGTGTGTGTAGATGGGTGTGTGCACACACATATGTGGGTGTATGAGGTGTGTGTTTTGAGTGTGTGTGTGCGAGTGTACATCTGGGTGTGTGTGCCTGCACATCTACTCGCTGAAGGAGTGCACACAACTCCGTCAACAGAGAAAACTCGGGGACAGGACCGGGAGGGAGGAGGGCGCCTAATGAATAGATCAGATATTTAGATGCTTTGAATCTTTTTTTAAATCGTGCGGTTTCTTTTGAATATGGCCTACTCTTCAAATTTACCACGTGGCGAAGGAAGCTACAAATTTCTATTTTCGGGAGGACTGAGGGATTCCAACATTTTGAGTTCTGGTGCGATAATATTTCCTCTACTGAGGCTCCTGGGATTGAGTCAAGGGGCAGCAAGGGAGACCGCCACCGCGCCCAAAGCAAAGTCTCATCGGTGACATCCCAACATGAGCATTCTCAGTTAAGATTTCTTATCTGAGGAGGTGTCCAGGGCGACACGGGGAGGGAGGCGTCCCCACGCAGAGGGCAGGCTGTGCCACTGCTCTGCTGGAGCAGGGGGCGGAAGCAGTGGCACCCAGTGACAGCTCCACCTCGCCTTCGCGGTTATCACCTGCAAGGACACAGTGGGGAAAACAGGAGAAGGTGAGGGACGCGCTTCCTGAGAGCCTGGCAGGAGGCGGTGACACCCCGCGCGCTGCTGCTTGCCCTGCTCGAGCCGATCTGCCGAGTACACAGGGCACATGGGACCGCCAGGCCTGCAGCAGCTGGGCCGGTGCTTGACCGAAAAACGACTCTAAAGCTTCCTAACCTTGGGCACTAGTTTTTGTCCTTTGCTGGCTAAACAGTGCTGGACACTGCAACTAGCCCAGATTTCTGTCTCTTGCCCTCCGTACGTGGCTTCTTGTAGTTCGAGGTCACACGTTCATTATCATAGACAAAACCACTCCCCTGTCCCCCAGGCCACTGATTACAGGAGCTGGTGAGCCTCACACACTGAACCCAACCCTCTGGCTTGGCACAGGCGGCCGGGTCGGGGCTGGCTGAGAAAGAACCACCGAGGAAGTGCTTCATGGCACCAGTACGGCGCTGACCGAGAGCAGGCGGCCGTGAGGCCATGCGAGCAAAGCGGCCCTGTCAGCCTGTCCCTGTCCCGGCCCTCGGAGTCGCTCAGAATGCCAGCCAACATCACCCATCTCCAGGAAAACCACACCTGCTTTTCTACCCCGAAAGGGTGGGTCCTAGAAAGCCTAGCTGGGCTCTCCTGACCAAACCTCACCTGGGACAGGTGACGGCGCAGGAGAAGGCTCTCTGCCGGAAGAGCCCCGTGTCGGGAGTGGGCTGGTGACATTCGCTCCCAAGAGACGTCATCTTCTGGGGAGGAAAAAACAAGAAACACCACTCCCATGAGAAAGGCGACCCGGCTGGGCGCTGAGCTGTCACCCCGCTCTGCTGGCAGCGCCACACGCACACATGTCACTAGTCGCACGTCACAGCACGGCCCTCTCCCGTGCATTTCCAAGACCTACTGGTCTCTTTTTCTGCTCAGTGGTCCAAGTTATTTACAAAACCACTCCAAATAATTTAGTCGTACATCTGTTCTCAGTAAGAGTTCATTGAGAACTTATTCTATGCCTGGCAATGCACGAGGTGACTGTCGCAGAAGCAAACAGAGAGATGTCAGACCATAAGCAATCGACAGTGCTCGCGATGCCTCAATCACACAAAGAGCTGAGACATCGCTCAGGAAATGCCTGGCACAGGGAGAGTCAGCTGAGGGCGGCGCTGGTGACCAAACGTTCTCATTTAGGGACACTGCCAAGACCCGCCGCAGTAACCCCCATCACCGGGCACATGCTCAGGTGGCTCTCGTGGGGGTCATTATAACGCCACCTCCTCAGGGAGCGGGAGACCCATGGACCGCTGGCCGCCCCAGGCCTGTCTCCAGTAAACACGCAGCGCCCTGGCCGCAGCCGTACCCGCAAGGCTGCGCAGAGGTCACAGCAGGGATGGAGAGCCAGACTGAGAAGCTGTGTGGCCTGACACGCGAGCTCGGGAGAAGGCACAGGCAGTTTCCCCTCCCTTAGGTTCCAGCATCACCTGACGGGGGATAGAAGAGGAAAAACAATATTTCAAGAAAAATTACATGCAGTTATAAATACCATTACACCTGTCTGCACATATAAACTACACGCAGACACACACGCACGCAACCTAGTTTAACGGTAAGACACCGTGATCCACGTGTGGGACTGGGAAGGCCGGGCGCTGTCACGCTCTCTGTGCGTGTGTCACGTGCACGACCTTCGGACACGTACTGTTCACCCTCCCCGAGGCCCGGCGGACACAGAGCGTGGCTGGCTGATAATTACGTCAGCGAGATGAAGCATTTCAATTGTTAGGACTAAATTTTATAAAACAGTTTTTACTGTTATGTGCAAATCGACGGAAACGTGGCTTCTCTATGACCACCTGGCGAGGTCTACGGAAGACACCTACTGACTCGATGGGCAAAAACTGTCTCTAGCTTATTGGTTTTTACAAGGCCATCTATAGGAAAAATGTCAATAATATCTGAATTTCTAGGAAACTGGATTAAACTAAATCACTCCTTTTTAAAACAAAAGTCTAAAATTTGCCCCAAATCCATCATCTACGGAAAGGGCTCCTTCCTGTGCCATAATTACGTTTCCTAACCCTTTTTCTCCTAAAAGACACCCATAAATATGAGTTTCGCCTAAGATAGTTAAGACAGCACCTAATGTAAATCATTTAGGAACCACCTCAATGCACTATGGTCTAGATGTGAGAAAATGAAGACCACATTTAATTCAGTGTCCTCGGAGACACACATAATAACAGCTGCTATGTGATTTACTGATTTCGCCAACGAACAGAATGAATCTGTATATCTCAAAGTGACGTCCTGCTCTCTGAAGTCACTCGGGGAACAGCACACCGCAAATTTTACAGATGTAGCTACAGGTTTTCTTCTCTCAGTCAACTGTTAAGATTTGAGACTAGATTTACGTAAAGGTGTAAAAATTTAACTTTTACATTAGAGAGAGATTAAGGAAAAATATACAATTGCTAAAGTATGCATTAGTCTTCTGAATATAAGCATATTGGTACAAGACCACTGTCTTCATTTTTTTGCTTCCTGACAAGTCAAAAAACAAATTTACAAACATGTATCACAATGTTGTAGCTTACAATTCTATTCAAAAGTATTTCCCCCAAAATATCTGACCTACGATTTCAACAGCAGGTATTCATAGATGTTATTTTTATAATAGCTACATCTTTTTTTTTTTAGTCATATATTGGCATGCATGTAATAGCTCTCGATAACTTGTGTCCGTTAGAATTTTGGTTCCTCCTGAACAAAGGCTTGAAAACCGCAGGGGCTAGGGTGATGGCACGTCATCGTGCATATGTAATTCTCTCTCAGATACAGTCGATTCGGTCCTTCCAGCTGCCAATACAAGGAAGTAAACCTTGCCTGAGTTTCCTGAAAATCTCAACAGGAGATAAGCAGCCGTTCCCTTCAAAGGAATTACACAGACACCTTTCTCAGGAAAATATTTAAAATCCACATTAAGATAATGTACTGCAGAAGAGAAAAATATGAAGTGCCTCTAAACGGGAAAAAGCACACGGCCTTCTAAAGTCACCGTCTGCAAAGCGGCCGCTGCTGGGGAAGCTCGAGAACTGCAGGTTCCGCTCGGGCTCACGTCACCCGAGCCCGGCACGGCCAGGTGGCAGAAACAGATTCATTTACGTGCGCGTGCACAATACTGTTTCTCAACCTTTGTTTTCCATCGTCACTTGCCTGGTTTTCTACGCTGTGAGGCACTTTCCCCTGGTTTCCCTCCAACGAGTTTAACACCAGATATGCTGCGTATCTGTCGCTGTGAGAAGGACCAGGAACCGCTGTGATATTTGGCCCAGGAAGATGACGCAGCTGTCCTGGGAATGCATGGGGCACAGTAACCTGAGAGAGAGAGAGAGAGACGCGAACGCTCAGGCCGTGTGCGGGCTGTTCCCACCTGTCACAGGGTGCCCGGGGACACTTCCTTGTCCGTTCTCTGCTGGGCACACTCCACAGGACACGCGCCACGGCCTCGGGGACACCCTCTCCATCGCATACCTCACCTGGGCCCCATCTCATCTTCATCCCTGCAAAGGCAGGAGCTATTCAAACCCGCATAATCCCGATGTCTTTCTGCTCCGAGCTAAGCACAGAAAAGTCAAAAATCCCAGAATCCACAGGAATGGGAGCTTGGTAAAATAAAAACCACCGGCGAGGGTCACGACACTCGAATGAGTGGTACTGTATTGTCAAGAAGTAAGCGACGAGCATCTTCACGGCAACGGTGTTTTGCCGAGTTTGAAGTGCAGCCTGAAACTTTGGCACGTCATCCCCGCTGTCCCGCAGACACCTCCCCGCTGGGAAAACAGACGAGGGCTGAGGGAACCCGCAGCAGGAGCAGGCCCGCCTCCTCCAACCTGCGATTCAGCGACCGTGTCTCACTCTGCTCAGCCTCACTGAAGGCTTGTCAACGTCATTACTCTTTATAGAAATCCGACTTTTGGTTTTCATGGGTCTTCTGCATGGTTATTTTGAGTTTTATTTCCATGTAATTAACTTTTGCTTAAATTTTTATTAACTTCCTTGTTCTTGATTGGGTTTGAATTTCTTAGTTTAGCCTTTTTCTATTTTCTTAAGGGGAAAGCTTAGGTTATTTCTTTGCTATATTTCCTCCCTTCTGACATAGTAATTTAAAACTATAAAAATTTCCTTATAAGCATGTCTTTAGCTCTAACCCATCCAGTTTTAAATGTTTCCTACTTCTTTCATGATTTTGTATCTGACCTATTGGTTCTATAAATTATGCTAATTTTCAAATATTTGGCAATTTCCGAGATGTATCTGTTTAGATTTCTAATTTTTCTGTGGCCATAAAACGTACACTACATGATTTCAACCTTAAATCCACTGAGTCGTTTCCTGACTGTGTGTGTGATCTATGCTGGAGAATGTTCCAGGTGCATCTGAAGATAGCTTGTGTTTCACTGCTGTATCAGCTGAAGGTGGTCGATAAGATTGCTCAGGTCTGCGGTCACCACCTGACCCCGTCTGACGGGTCTACCAACTGTTTGCAACAAACCGAAGCATCATTAGCATCACAGGATTGTGTTTGTCTCTTCTGCCAAGTCAGTTTTCGTTTTATGTAATTTGATACTGTTGTTAATTATGCTTATAATTGTTATATATTCCAGATTAATTAAGCCTTCGACCATTATTTAATATCCTTCCTCATTTCTAATACTATTTTACCACAGTCTATTTTCTCTAGTTTTTCTCGACTCTCCTGGGTCTTCTTTGCACAATACAGCTGTCCTCACTCTTTTGAACTATCCGTCTATGTTCTAAAGCGTCTCTTTTATAAACAGTATATTGACGTTTAACTATTTAAATGAATCTCCCCATTTCTGACTTTTCAATTTAATTTGTCCTATAGTTGGATTTTTGCCCCTTCTGTTTGCTGGATGTCTCACATCCGTACATTCTTGTTTTAATCAGACATTTTCTGTTACACTATATTAATTGCTCGGTGACTCAGTATTATTTCCTTAGTACTGGTCTTAGGGTTTGCAAAACGCACCCTGAATTATCGCCATCTATTTTAGATGAATGCTGACTTTGTTGTGTGGCCTTGTATGTGACTTGTACTCGGTTTCAGAAAGTGATGCTGCCACTCATTTTGTCCACATTTTCAAAGAGAGAAACTACCGAAGCCGTGATTGATCCAGGAATGTGTATAAGCGACTACGAGCCTGAGCTGGGGGCCACAGGACAGGAATGACTTCGTCACCACTGGCCACAACCACCGCAGGACGAGGTCTCGGAGACCAGAACACACGCGCGCGGTGACCGGACCCGCAGGCCCTCCTGGGCACTGGGGCAGCACAGCTCCCTGCGCGACTGTCAGGCTTCGCGGGACAAAGTGCTCACCCGCATCACAACGTCACGCAGGCCCCGGAGCGGGCGGCGGGATGATCCCCAGAACTTTCCTCACGTCACATCTCAAGGGAAAGAAGGAAACGCGTCCACGTGAAACCCAGTTTGCGGCCCACGCCGACCTGAGGGAGGACAGCTATGTGGCAAGGGGAGAAGACGAGTCCATCCCGCAGCCACACACGGGGCAGAGCGGTCACGTCATGCACACGGACACTCCTCTGACGCGGTGACACGCGCAGGGAGACAAAGCAGTGCCTCGGTCAGCTCATCGCGCACGCGCAGAAAGTGAGACCAAACTCTGCCCCCAGACGACTCGGCGCGCACGCGCGGGGAGACAAAGCAGTGCCTCTGTGACCTCATCGCGCACGCGCGGGAAGTGAGACTAAGCTATGCCCCCCCCCCGATGACCCGGCGCGCATGCGCGAGGAGTCAAAGCAGCGCCTCTGTGACCTCATCGCGCACGCGCGAAGAGGAAAACCAAACTGTGCCTCAGTTGACTCAGCGCGCACGCGCGAGGGAAACCAAGCTGTGCCTCAGCTGACTCAGTGCGCATGCGCGGGCAAACAAGGCGGGGCCTCTTGGTAACTCAGCGCACGCGCGGAGACCAAACAATGCCTGAGCTGACTCAGCGCGCACGCGCGGGGAGGGAAACCAAGCTGTGCCTCGGATGACTCAGTGCGCATGCGCGGGGAAACAAGGCGTGGCCTCTTGGTAACTCAGCGCACGCGCGGGGAAAACAAGCAATGCCTGCGCTGACTCGGCGCGCAAGCACAGAAGACAAAGTGAGGCCTCAGTTGATTAGCAAGCACGCGCGGGGATTAAAAAAAAAAAAAAGTGCCTCCCGTGACTTGGCACGCATGCGTGGGGCGGCAGTAAGAGCACTGCATCAGCTGACTTAGCGCATGCACAGGCAGCAAGCAATGCCTCGGCTGACAGTGCGCAGGCGTGCGGAGGGAGAGCAGCGTCTCAGCTGACTTGGCGCATGCGCAGGGAGAAAGCAGAGCCTGAGCGGACTTAGCGCGCAGGCGTGGAAAGAACAGCGTCTCAGCTGACTTGACGCATGCGCAGGGACAAAGCAGTGTCGAGGCTGACTTAGCACATGCGCGGGGAAAAAAAGCCTCTGCGGACTCAGCGGCTTATAAACAGGCAGGTCATAAAAGCAATCAGACTCTAAATTACTTAACAAAGTAATAAAAGGATCTAAGAATATACATCTATTAAAAGTGCATATCACCTCCGGAGTGAACTGTCTTGATCTTTCTCAGAGGAAAGCACTGGAAGCAAAGGACAGAAACAGCCTTTTTAGTGGGTAGAGGTGAGAATTTCAAGCAGCAAAATATCCCTTCCGTCTAGCATCACTCCCAGCGTGCGAAGCACAGGGAAAATGGGGGTTGCAGGGCAGAGGCTTCCGGGTGGAATGTTTAGTGACAAGGTGATGGAAGTGACCCAGCAGAGATACTCACTGGGTAAAAACAGCAAATGCTCCCCCCTTGGAACATGTTAATACTTTTTTTCTAAGACGATGCTCTCAAAATTTCCTCAGCGAAGTGACCATAACTTCATTCGTTATAACTAAAAGCTCTCTTTCAGACACACTGGAAATCCCACTGGAGTTATATAAAAGTGGCCAAGGAAATCCACGTAAAAACAAAATGGAAATGTAATCATTTCACATCTAAACACGTTTAATGCAGTATGTAGTTGAAATCACTACTCGTGTGTCTATAAAGTTATTCACTCAGATGATGGGGGGGAACCCCAAAACCCCAAAGAAACGATAACTCAATCCTAGTGACTGATTGGCAAGAAAATTAAAAAAACATTGTGAAATCAGAACAATATTTGTGTTTCTCTGTCTGATCAGCACAGAATCCCCTTGCTCCACCCAGGTTCCTGCAGATGGCGACATTTCGCTCTTTGTGAGGCTAATATTCCATTGCGTATATGTATTACCCCTTCTGTACCCACACATCTACTGATGGGCACTTTGGCTGCTTCCATATCTTGGCTGTTTAAATGTCTAATCGCTATGGTGTACACCTGAAGTGAACATCATGGTGTATGTCAACTGTACTTAAAAAATAAAAAATTATTTTAAAAATAGTGTGAAGACTCCACATACAGTAACTTCTTTCCGATTATCATATACTTGTGTCACCTAATAAAAAAAAGTAAAAACCCACAATCTCTGCATTTTGACCATCTAATAGCTCTCAAAGACCATCGTCACACAGAAGATTCCAGCAGCTCAGGCAAATGTGCGAAGGGCTCAAGTTTAGGCAACAAGTGTTTCTCAAGTCGTCAGTGCTCATGTGCTGGCTCCCCAGGGTCGGCACCCACCAAGTGTGTTCCCGCTGCAGCTAAGCACTCAGGGACCCCCAAGACCCCAGAGCCAGCCTGACCCCCAAGCGGGAAAGGCAGGGACCACATAAGATTCGGTTCCTCTGGTGCATGCGAGCAGGTCAACACTCTAGCAACACAGGGCTGAAAGCGTGACACCCTCCCCCAGCTCCGGGGGTCTGTGCTCGACCTCAGTGTCACAGGGGAGACCGGATGACTCGCTTTGTTCGGGTTTTTCAACACGATGAATTACTGTAATAATGGCTGATACAAGTTTCTAAAAAAGGACGTGTTTGCTCAGAAAGACACAGAACACAACAGTTCCTCTCTCTGGGACTCGCTTACCCAGCAGCCCACACCAGCGATCCAGGCTCTGTAGGTGACTGTCACACACGGTGTCCCACGGTCACTGGAGGATTAACCAGCTCTGAAACGGACATCAGCATTTTAAGGACAAACGATCACTGACTTGAGAGTTCCCACCGGCCCATGAGGACGGGCCTCCCCTCCACGTCCCGTCTCAAAGGGAAGGAACCTGATTTTGTCCCTGTGGAGCTGTGGGAGCAGAGGGGACGAGGGAGAGGTGACAAGCAAGCACGTGCACAGGTCCACTCAGCGCAGGCGGGGAGGGCTCAGCAGCACACCCCCAACAACATCCCCGCCCCCTCCCCCGAGCAACACATTCTGCCAGGCAGGTTACACGCGCAGCAGGACAGCCGGGCATTTACGGAAATGCTACCGTGTGCCATCTGGTTGACCACAGGCCCTGCAGGCGCGACCCCCAACGAACCGAACTGCCTCCATTTCCTGCCTAGTTTGCTCCCTGAGCAGGACCTCAGGTCGCAGAGTATTTCTGCCACTCTTTGTGTTCAGATTCCAAGGACACCCATTGTTGAAGTCATTATTGATCCAGGCACATTTGTAAAAGGGACCGTGAGCCTGAAACACGTGGCAGGCCCTGAGCGCTCAGAGACCCGTCCCCTGGGGCCCACGATATGACCACGGAGGCACCGAGGTGGCCCCACGCTGACCAGCACAGTGAGTCGCGCTGTCACAGGGGTGTCACCGTGTGCCCAGGAGTGTCAGTGTCTTCGCGACAACACACTCACTGTGTTAGGGACCCTCCTGACCCCCGAGGATGAGAGCGGAAGGATTTCCAGGATGTTTCTTCTCGTCATGTCACAAAGGGAAGGATGGTTTTTATGTTGGTCCTCGGCGACCTGTGGAAATAGAGTAAACGTAGAGAAATATGCAAAGCACACACGTGCACGTGTCGACCGTGAAAACACCTAGGAAGTGCATCGTAAACCTGCCCATTAAATATACTAACTTATCATTCTAAGGTTGTTACAACTTTACTCAAAAAAGGGGACATGGGAAATTCATAAATGAGACAAACCGCAGATGAGTCGCCAGATGATAAATACCTCGCACTGCTTAGACGGACGAGGTTTCACAAAACCGATTACATTCTCGATTACTTGAAAAATAAAAATGATCCATGAAACACAAGTTTATTAATAATTGTGATGCTACCTCTGGAAAGCACCTTTCTGATCATTTCCAAAAAGGAAATTTGTACGAGGACAAAATCAGCGCTTCCAGAGTGTGGCAGAAGAATTATAGGCGGTTCCAACGGCCTTTCCTACCCACGAGGCATGGGGACATCAGGGAAGCTAGGAAACCGTCCTCACGGAATGTGTGCTGGTCACAGGTTTCAGAGAACTGACCGCGGAGACACACAAAACAACCTAACGAGAAGTCACTCGGCACTTGGAACGCAGCAGCATTCGAAGGCATTTCAGAAGACTCGGCGGTCGAAGGCTCCCCGAAGGCCCCCTCGCATCCGCACTACACCTGTAACCTCCCTGAAATACACGGGAAGCTAGCTGCAGAAACGTCAGTGGACGAAACCTACTCTGAAAACCAAAACTCGTAAATGGGACCACTCGCAGTTTCTGAAAACAGTGGGAAAGCCTCGCTCATCTGCGTCGTCATCGTCGTTAACCAGAGCACGACGCAGACACTGGACGTGGGACCATGGAGGCGGCAGGCTCCACCCAGGAAACGGCCCATGAGCTCGAACGTGGCGGCGCTAGGGAGGGTCCGCCCGCCCGAGGTGCTGGGGCTCAGCGGGCGGCGACCAAGACCAGGTCCCCCAGTGCCCTGTGAAGTCCGTGCGCAGATCTGGCTAAGAAGTCTGCTCACCGGTGAGGGATTCCGCCACCAAACCCAACAGCCTGCGCCATGTGATGCTGAGGTCCCCACGGCTGAGAGTCGCAGACCTGGCAGGTCACCCCGCTGGCGTCTGCTCCCAGGCGGCTGGACCTGAAGAAGGCAGGAAAAACACACGCAAGACTGAGGAACAGGCCCCGGTTTGCGGCACGAGGTCCCGCCTGACGTCCCCCACGCAGGCCTGGCGTCTGCGCGTCACGAGCCTCGGGGTGTGGCTGCCGGCGAGTGTGCCGGCACAGTGTCGCAGGGATGGGCACGTGTCCTTGTGCGTGGAGGCCTCAGCACCCACAAAGGCCCGCCTTCTACCCTGCCGCGCAACGGCGGGACACCGGGGGCTCCCAGGCTGCCGCTCACAGACATGGAAGCCGGGCCTGAACGGCACCGAGGACCTCGCTGGAAGCCAAGGCCTCTCCTGAAACGATGCGAGACAGCGCGCCGGTTGCACCCTGCCCCCTGCCTCCCACATTCGTAACCTGACAACCGGTTTTGGAGTGGGGACCATGACACAGTCATGGGGACTCAGGGGCATGTTGAAACACATGAGCTGCCAGGTAAGGCCCACGCCTAGTCTTCCTGACGCCAGCCCCAACGGGCTGCAGTTGAGTTTAATCAACAAAAAGCAAGAACAACTTTCTCCGTGAGCCAGGCCTGGCTGGGCTTAAGGCCGAGAATAAGTCCTAGATGCAGCCGGCGGGGCTGTCTGACCGTGACCCATGGCCACTCCGGTCCTGAGGGCTCACAAGGCCTGTGCCAACACAGGACGAAACACAGTCATGGGGACTCAGGGGCATGGTGAAACAGATGAGCTGCCAGGTAAGGCCCACGCCTAGTCGTCCCTGACGCCAGCACCAACGGGCTGCAGTTGAGTTTAATCAACAAAAAGCAAGAACAACTTTCTCCGTGAGCCAGGCCTGGGCTCAAGGCCGAGAATAAGTCCTAGATGCAGCCGGCAGGGCTGTCTGACCGTGACCCATGGCCACTCTGGTTCTGAGGGCTCACAAGGCCTGTGCCAACACAGGACGTCATGTTAGTCAAAGTGACAGGCCTGGCCACCCTACAAAAACCACTAGCAATGGGAGCGCTGCCAGACACCAGGAGGCCCTGATACCGATGCCCTGGGAAGTACCGGCATGACTGTGACCTTGAGCAGCTGTCCCTCACGTCGGCTATCCCCGGGCGTCCCCGTGCTGGACCTCAGATCCGATGAGAATGACGGTAGGGGTTCTCACTCATTTTGTTCAGATTTTCCAAGGAATGCACGTGAGGGTCATCATCGATCGAGCACGTTCGGGGACTCGGGACTGTGACCAGGCCGCCGGGAGGTCACCTCGTGACTGAAGGACATCAAAGCCTTCCAACGGCCTGAGGCATCCAGGTCCCAGCCAGGAAGCACAGGAACAGCCAAGTCATAGGAGCCAAGTCCCACGTGTCACTGGGGTACGAGGACAGGTGGCCTCTTGCAGGCCTACATGACCCCCCAGGAAATCGCAGAGCCTGGGACAGAGGAGAGCTCACCCTCCTGAGGGATCCGTGGGAGGGGTGCACGCCCAGGTGACACGTTTCTGAGGATTCGCCGATGTCCAGCCAGCAAACCGAAAGAAAACCTCATCTCTTCATGACTGTCGATGACCTGTCCTCAGCCACTCCGCCTGGGCCACGTAGAGAAATTCCCATGTGCCATGGTGCACGAGGACAGGTGGCCTCTTGCAGGCCGAAGCAACCCCCCAGGAAATCGCAGACCCTGGGACAGAGGAGAGCTCACCCTCCTGAGGGATCCGTGGGCGAGGTGCACGCCCAGGTGACATGTCTCTGAGGACTTGCCGATGTCCAGCCAGCAAACCGAAAGAGAACGTCATCTCTTCATGACTCTCGATGACTCGTCCTCAGCCACTCCGCCTGGGCCATGTAGAGAAATGACACGCATGATTCAGAAACGCGCCCGGATTCTCAGGTAACGGCGCCCACACCAACCAGTGCCCGGGGCAGCGGCATCTGCTTCCTGCTCCGCTGTCCCTCAGCGTGACTGCAGGCCTGTGTGACAGCAGAGGGCGGGTGGCCTAGCGCTGTGTGAGTCCTCAGCCCATGAAGGAGCAGGACTTCGGTCTGGGTCCCCAGAGTTACGTCCTGCTTCCTAAGCAGGGACGGTGGGACCGTAAGAGAGGAGGCCACCTCGATCCCCAGGAGGCTTCCTCAACACAGAGCAGATCCTCCTGTCACAGGTCCCCCTGATTAAACCACGCAGTCTACCTACACCTCTTCCTGACCGTGGACGTCATGGGAACCTGCGTACTGTGCCCCTACAAGTGTCACCTGTAGGCCCCACGTGACTGATACCAGCAAATGCGGGAACAAAACCACGATGTGCGGGTTTCCCCAACAAAAGTGTGAAAATCTTTCTGAAGGTTAAAGGGCTCACTTGGCATGAGTCTGGTTGTCCTTGTTGGACAGCAAATAACCAGACAGGAATCACTTCTCGTCGTCCACCACAGCCCAGGTGAAAACGGAAGAAACTGGAACATGTCCCTCTGGGGACCAGGCCCGGCCTCCTGCACGAAGATGCGAGAACGTGACATCCGCGGTAACATCTGACACGCGTCTGCCTCCACCAAAGGTGCATCCTCACGCCTGAGCCGGCCCTGGACACGGCTCCACCACGTGGGGTGCGGAGGTGTCAGGGACACGGACACCAGACTCTGACTGTGCACAACCCACGACCTGGCATTCAACCAGTGACCATGCCCTCACAAAGGCCCAGTGATCCCTTCACTGTGACAAGAGCAAGAGCTGAAATAAAACACATCCAGCAATAAAACAACACGGCCCTTTCCCAAGCAGCGTGCCTGTGCCAGGCAGGGAGCCAGAAAAGCAGCACTCATGGTCTCCTCCCTGTCCCCGGGCACCCAGGAGACATCTAAGCATCGGAAGAAGCAGAAGACACCTGGGCCAGGAGCTCGGACCACCCTGGAGGGAGACTCTGACCTTACATCGCTGGGACTGAGAGGTAAAGGGTCGGTCAGCTGACTCCCCGGCCCCTGCACCGCCTCCAGGAACTGCAGGCAGAGACGTGGGCGCCATGACTAGGAAACAGAGACGCCAAGTGACGACGCTCAGCGTGCACGGTGCTGAGCCCAGGGAGCCCGAGCCGGCGCTGGGAGGCGGCCACGGCAGCCCCGCCGGGTGGAAGTGTCCTCGTTCCAACGGGCAGAAACAGCATGTCTCACGGACACCTGCGGATTCTCTGACCTGACCTCTCGGGGACCTTCCACCTGTCCAGGCCATTGAACACCACTGTGACATCACAAAGGCAAAGCCAGCACAGTCCACCGTGATGCGCGTGGATGGGGTGAGTACATTACTAGCGGGAGCTTCACGCAGCACCGCCGCCCGATCATCGGCAAATGGCCCCACCACGCGAAAGGACAAGGACACGTATCGTTACCTGCCTGGCTGGGGCTCCAGTCACAGGCCACGTGGCCTTGCTGTTGGAACCCCAGCAGACACCCTCGGAACCATGTCTGCGGCGGAGGCTGAGAACACAGACCACGCCGTGAGCTCGCTGGGCCGAGGTCAATGGCACACACATTCTCTGAGTCCAAAGACTGACAGGCTGGCGGCCACCTTGTCACCCAGACTCGCCATTCAAACTAGAACTGTGATTGTGGAAACCCACAGATACGCGGGGTGGGGAATGACACTCGGATGGGAGGCGCTCACGGATGACACCCTGGGAGGTGCCGGCATGACTGTGACCGTGAGCAGCTGTCCCTCACACCGGCTGTCCCCGGGCATCCCCATGCTGGACCTCAGATCCGATGAGAATGACGGTAGGGGTTCTCACTCATTTTGTTCAGATTTTCCAAGGAATGCACGTGAGGGTCATCATCGATCGAGCACGTTCGGGGACTCAGGAACTGTGACCAGGCCGCCAAGAGGTCACCTCGTGACTGAAGGACATCAGAGCCCTTGAACAGCCTGAGGCATCCAGGTCCCGGCCAGGGAGCACAGGAACGACCAAGCCATAGGAGCAAAGCCCCACGTGTCACTGGGGTACGAGGACAGGTAGCCTCTCACAGGCCTACGTGATCCTCAGGGAAATGGCGGAGCCTGGGGCAGAGGAGAGCTCACCCTCCTGAGGGATCCGCGGGGGAGGCGCACGCCCAGGTGACACGTTCATTAGGAAATGCCGATGTCCAGCCAGCAAACCGAAAGAGAACGTCATCTCTTCGTGACTGTCGATGACCCGTCCTCAGCCACTCCGCCTGGGCCATGTAGAGAAATGACACGCACAATTCAGAAACATGCCCGGATTCTCAGGTAACGGCGCCCACACCAACCAGTGCCCGGGGCAGCGGCATCTGCTTCCTGCTCCGCTGACCATGCATAGAAATGACACGCATGATTCAGAAACACGCCCGGATTCTCAGGTAACGGCGCCCACACCAACCAGTGCCCAGGGCAGCGGCATCTGCTTCCTGCTCCGCTGTCCCTCAGCATGACTGCAGGCCTGTGTGACAGATTAAGGTGCCAGCATGCAGCTGTGTGTGCCTCGGCCTACGCAGAAGACTCAGCCCCTGAAGACGCGGGCCTTGAGCCCAGATCTCCAGAGCCACATCCTGCTTCCCAACCAGGGACAACGGGGCCTTCGGAAGACAGAAGGCCACCCCTGTCCCCAGGAGTCATCCTCGACAGTCTACAGATCCTCATGTCACAGGTCCTCCTGCTAGCAAACCGCAAACGTGTGCCATGTCAAATGGGACACTGTGTCTCCGCAAGTGTCACAGGAAGAGCCCACTTGACAAAACCCAGCGTTGCCCAGGAAACACCACCCACCCACAGAGGGCACCATCGTCACGCTGGCAGAAGTACTGTCTAAAATCGTCAGGCGTCACTGGAGCTCTGGCCAGGAATGTCATCGAGTGGCCTGAGCCTGATTTTCCTCTTGTGCCAGCAGGTGACCAGAAGGACATTGCTCCTCGTCACCCACCGTGCCCCGGGGTCCAAAATGGCTAAAACTAGGACACGTTTTCCCCGCAACTAGACATGTCCTGATCCACAAAGATCCAAGGCTGTTGCTGGTGCCGGCTGAGTGTGACCGTGAGCAGCTGTCCCTCATGCCAGCTGTCCCCGGGCGTCCCCGTGCTGGATCTCAGATCCGATGAGACTGACGGTAGGGGTTCTCACTCATTTTGTTCAGATTTCCAAGGAATGCACGTGAGGGTCATCATCGATCGAGCACGTTCGGGGACGCGGGAAAATGTGGCACGGCCGCCGGGTGGCCCACTGGGGGACCCAGTGACCTTGCAGTCCACCCGCGGCCTGAGGGTCCACATCCAGCCGCTGAGCGCGAGGCGTGGCCAGGCCCTCACGCTGGAGGGACCCCCGCGGGCCGGGCAGGACCGGAACGATCCACCGTGAGCAGGGACACCTACCTCCCCCGGGACGCCGGGCCGGCGCACTCCGCACGTCCTCCGGGGCTACAGCGACCTCCACGCGTCCAGCAGGGATGGGTCTGTGCTCTTGGCTGACGAGGGACCGTCCCCTGTACCGGCCCTGGTGGTGGAGACAAATCACAGGCCCCTGAGAGATGCCCGGGGCCTCGGGGACCAATATGCACGTCAGCCTTTCCCGTGACGGTGGCCCCACAGCGCACTGTCCCCAACGTCTGTCCCTGAGGTGTGACTGCAGGCGGGTGTGAGCCACATGTGTGTGTGGTTCTGCCGACGTGCGTGCGTGTGCTTGTGGCCGAGGCCACCTCGGAACATGCGGGCACTGGCGAGCGATCCGGGAGCCCTCGCCTGCCCCCACGGAAGGACGTCCTTCAAAACAGAGAACATGGCAAAGACACTCATGGTGCGGGTGACAGAGGCCGGGGACGCGCTCTCAGAGCCGCACCTCTGAACCAGACCTGGACATCGATTCTCCCTGCACGCCCTTGGTGACCGTGGATGTGAAGTTGACCTGGACAGTTTCCCTCAAACACTGTAACAGGTTAACTATGCCCGACGGAACCAGACACAGCTGAATTGACAAAGCCCCCGACGTCAAGGCACCGTCCACTCCCGGGCCTCCCGGAGCCCCTGCTCATCTTGAGTGGCCACGCGAGTCCCCACTTCTCTGTCACACTGGGAACGACGTCCTCAGTGGGATGAAGGGCAATGGGAGGGGTACCGGATGCGTCCACCACACGACTCGGGAAGAACGTGCAGCCCCGTTCCCGTGCAGGGCTGGACGTGGCCGCGGACTGTGGCGTCCAGGACCGGGACACGGGGGCAGACACGTGGCTGCTCAGGGTGCCTTGGCTAAGGCTGCACCTGCATGCCTGCGAGGCTCGTCACCGATGTGGCCTTCACTGTCATGGCCACCTGGGATCGGACACCGCGAGGGAGAAAAGCCACGGAGATTTCAACACTGGATGCGGTGGCCCCATGGCCTTCGAAGCATGACCGCGACGTCAGGGCGGGGACCCAGCCTCGCTGCTCTCTCGAGGAAAGGGCCCACGAGGACACCGCGACACACTCCGTGTCCTGGACTCGGGCATGCAAACACGTCCCCGGCAGGCGGTGTCCACGCTGTGCGGCCGGGTCACCGCCTCCCCTCTGAGGAACCGGCAGACACGGCGTCCAGGGACTGGCAGCGTCCAGGCCACACGCTGACTTGGGAAGCCCCGTGAGGGGAGGGAAGAGGACAGTGAGCACGGGCCGTGGACTTCTCCACAGACACCAGGGCACGACGGCGACGCGGGCACAGCGGACGCGGTCAGCGACCGCGGTCAGAACCGCAGGGCTGACGCAGGGCCGCGGACGCCTTCCCTGGCCCAGGCCCACTGCTCTGCCCGATGCACCCTGAAGTGCGATGGCGATGACGTCAGCTGGGACATGACGTAAGAGCACATGCCACAGAAGACCGTGGGCCACCCTACGACCTGTTCTCATCACCTCTGGTCCCTTCCTAGAACTGCAGCACAGATGTCTGGATTTCAGAGCCAAGACCTCAGCTCGCTCCCCAGCTGGCCACCTCACCTGTGGACGGGGTCAGAGATAAACCACAGGACCTGCCAAGGCCAATAGGGGGACCATGACCCCTCTGTCCCCGCCCCCCACACACAGGGGGCTCCAAGGTCCACACCGAGACCAAAGGCAGGAACAGGCCACAGCTGACCAGGCCTGGGCTCTAATCAGAAACCAAAAGACTCTGCTCTTCGGCTAAACACCCGAGGCCGAGGCCCACACCGCAGGCAGGACCCTGGCCGGGACCTTCCCACGCCAGGGCCCGTGTGGGCCTGTGTCCTGCCACACTCCGCCACGCAGGACCAGTGGATGTGCTGCCACCCACGGGACACGAAGCCTGGCCACGCCCCCAACCCCACCCACCATAAACGCTGGACCAAGGGAATGCTGACAGTGACCAAACGTCCCTGTGGTGATGTCGGGTTGGTGCCGGCATGAGCGCGACCGTGAGCAGCTGTCCCTCACACCTGCTGTCCCCGGGCGTCCCCGTGCTGGACCTCAGATCCGATGAGAATGACGGTAGGGGTTCTCACTCATTTTGTTCAGATTTTCCAAGGAATGCACGTGAGGGTCATCATCGATCGAGCACGTTCGGGGACTCGGGACTGTGACCAGGCCGCCGGGAGGTCACCTCGTGACCCAAGGACCTCAAAGACCTCAAGTGGTCAGGTGTGTTCAGGTCTCAGCTACTGAGAACAGTAGTGGCCACCCCATGTGGAGAAAAGCCCAGTGTGTCACTGGGGCGCAGGGACAGGTGGCCTCTCGCAGGCCTACACGAATGGCGGAGTCTGGGGCAGAGGAGAGCTCACCCTCCTGAGGGATCCGCGGGGGAGGTGCAGGCCCAGGTGACACGTCTCAGGATCTGCTGATGTCCAACAGCAAACGAAAGGGGAACGTCATACTTTCATGACTAACGATGACCCGTCCTCAGCCACTCCGCCTGGGCCACGTAGAGAAATGACACGCACGTTTCAGAAACGCGCCCGGATTCTCAGGTAACGGCGCCCACACCAACCAGTGCCCGGGGCAGCGGCATCTGCTTCCTGCTCCGCTGTCCCTCAGCGAGACTGCAGGCAGCTGTGTGTGACCTGGTCCTGGGCTCAGGTCACGTCCTGCTTCCCAACCAGGGACAACGGTGCCTTCCGAAGAGAGGGGGCCACCTCTGTCCCCAGGAGGCTTCCTGAGCGGCCTGCGCAGCCCTCGGCCACAGGTTCTCTTCCTGAGTGATGCACATTTATTCTTACTGAGTCAAAGGCCCTCGGTGGGAGAAAAGCAAACCACAGGGCAATTCCTGGTGTCACACGTCATGACTGTGACACACGAGGGCGTCATCGTCAATCTAAACACATTCTGTGACACGGGAAGGAAGTCTGAACAACTGTCCTTGTGACTCAATAACTCCCAGTTTTCCGGAAACCTGGACAATGCACGTGGAGTCCCTGAGCGGAGGGGTGTGAGGCCCCTCCTGCAGTGACACCCGCGTCTCGCTGGGGACACGTCCAGCTCCTGCCGGTCTGTGTAACCTTCCCCAACACAGGTGTCGGGGAAGGAAGGCGCTTCCTCGGGAGGGCCCGCAGGTGTGCGGCACGCCCGGGGCCACGCTGCCTTCGTCTCCCATCCTGGCCACGGGGAGTCCCGCATGGCGTGTCACCTGACTAGTGGTGACAAATCACGCCTGCCTGAGAAGATGACTGACTCCTCAGCGAGGCCCTGCATAGAAACGTTAGGAACGACGCCTACTGTGCCAATGGGAAACTGCGTGAATTTGATGTCGTCTTTACGACTCGTGTCCCATTCAGAACCCTGGGCGAACAGGGCACGTCCCCGTCCCAGCCTCGGAGTCCCTTCGGCCCGTGACTTCTAGGGAAACTGTCACATGCTTTATGACAGTACCAGCCCCCTGACTGGGGCAGAACCCTCGGAGGTGGACTCGTGTGCCGCGTGGACGGGGCAGCGTCGAGAGGCTCCGCCTTCTGCATTTTACTCGTCGTCAATCACGACAACACGTTATCCGTTCCTCGTCGTGTTCATGTCACGAGGGATGCACTAATATACACGTACGTAGTTTGTCAACGGAAACAGTAAGAACGGAAAGAATATCTAAAAGCACCGCGAATTCCCTGTCCCACAGCCTCCGCGTCGTCGTCAGAGTCTGACAGTACTCGCCTCACGACATTACGCTGACGGACGTCCAAAGAATCTCGTCAGCTCCACGCTGCTTTCTCGTCTGTTCAGTCCGACGTCACCTGGATCGTTTCCTCGGCGACCTTGGCGTTTGAGGACCAACGGCTGGGCTCTCTGTAGACTGTCACCTGGTTCGGGTGTGTGTCCTCGCAGACAGAGCCGGGTCTGGGCACGTGGTGCCGAGTCGGCCCCGCACCGCCCGCCGCTGCCTCTCCGCCCGGCCCAGCCTGGACGGCGTCTGCCGGGTCCCCCGCCGTGATGTCATCACCTCTGCGACCGAGAGAACGGGACGCCGCAAACGTGTCCCGCGTCTCCTCCGATTTTCTGCAAGAAGTTGTTTATGGTTGAAACAATTATGATTATTGCCAAAGGCTGATCATCCCTTTCATGTTTACAACTCTCTATTGTGAAGAACTTTACTTTTTATCCTAATTCATCCATCCATCCACCCGTCCATCCGTTCACATGTCAGTTAAATGATATTATACATTCACGTATCAGTTAAATGTCATTATAAACATCTTATCATCATTAACCAGCTTATCATCCTTAGAGGGATTTCTCACGTCCCGAATCCCCAAACTGTATCAAAGTCAAAATCGGAGCCGGCTCGGGCCTCGGTGTCCCGCCGTCCCCTCTGACAGACGCAGCCTCGGCCAGCTGTGACTTCTCTGCCGCCTTCCTCCGGCAGTATGGTCGACATTCCACACCCCGACGCGAGGATCTCGCAGACTCCATCTCCCGTCGCCGAACCGGAAGGCACAGGCACGGCGAGAGGACCTCCGGCCTGCAGCAGGGGAGCTCTGAATGCACCCCGGCAGCTGCTGCGGCCTCGCCCGGCAAAGTTTATGTCACAGTTCCCCGGCTCATCATTTCGGCCAACGTTCCAGCTACCAGGTCAGAAGTGCTAAGTCATCATCCTTGCAAGGAACAAAGTACTACACATAGAAACAGATGCAGAGCTAGGGGTAGGGACTGATTATGGAACACGGAATCCTGACCTCATGGTGACAAATGACGAGCGGAGCACAGTACTTCGGTGGAGGATGATGCCTTCTGAATCCCTTCCGGCTGCGGCCGCGTCTCCGATGAGACTCTCGCCCCCACCCCGTCCCCGTCTGCAGAGCCTGTCTTGCCGCTGCCCGTGCCCTGCTCCATGCCCAGGCTGTCTCTTCCACCGGTGACACCCCGCTGACTGCCGTTCCTCCAGGGCTGGGATCCGTGTCCTGCCGGCACCCCGGAGCTCTGTGCGGTGCTGTCTGCTGAGCGGCACCGTCATGGCTCCCGAGCACTGGTGCTGTGTGTCTCCAGAGGTCGCTCCTCGTGGGCTCCCAGCACGGAACGGCCCGCGGACCGTGTCCTGTGCATCTTCTGTCCCGTTCCCATGGCAGCTCCACACTGACGCGTCTCGGACCGAGGGATCGCACTTGAGAGCGCTCACGGCTCCGACCCTAAAGACAAAGAGAGCATGAGTGAGACTCAGAAACGCGCTTTCCTCCAAAACATGGTTCGCTTAAAAGACTTAGCAAAATATAAGTATTTTTAATTATTACCTTCCAAAAGCTGTGACACCGGAGGGTTGTGGGTTTTTTTAAGGTGTGAATAGTAGGATGAGTTACACGGTCAAACTCAGTCTCAAACTCAGCTGAATAAATATCCTATTTCGTATGGATAAGCACAAGATAATCCATGAAATTGCATTTATCTTAGCAAGTGGTACATATTCGAAGAACTCACTGCAATATATACACAATTGTGATACATTTATTTGAAACCGCACAATGCACACAGATGAAAAGTAAAATAATGACCAAAACTTACATCATTCTTTGAATATTCTTCCTATAAAATTAGTTTACTGGGCATATCCGAACGGGCACATACACATATTGTTTTATATGAAGGAAATACAGACACAGTTAGTACTTAGTAACGGGTAGGAAAATGAGCTTCGGAAAAACCTGGATGTTCGTATGGCTTAGCCTGAACACACATCACCACATGTAAATGAATACGGTCCGACTGGGTCAGTGCATCGTCAGCATCTTCTGAAGCATTATGACTTGATAAACAGGTGACTTACAATTTTACAAGTGTATCTAAGGCTGCAACAAATGCCCTTGAGTTTACATTCGCCTTTGAACGCTACTTATGACATCCCACAGGTAAGTTTCTGAAAACAAAGTTGTTAGTTAAAATGTGTGCGAATTTCCATCTAATACCCATTTTCCACTGGGGTCTGGAAACAGTGTAACAGGTGGCTCTGTTAGCGAACGTTCCTTTGACCTGTGTGTGTTTGTGCACAGACACACGCATACGCTTATTTCATGTGTGCGTTTGTGCACAGACACACGCATACGTGTAATTATTTCATGTGTGTGCGTTTGTGCACAGACACACGCATACGTTTAGTTATTTCATTACAGGTTTGTAACTTATGATTATTCCACATGTTTGTTTCATTCTCAAGATTGGTAAGACTGGGCATAATTTTGCGTGCTCGCGGCCATCCGCAATGCCTGCCATTCATGAATTGTTCGTGGGCCTTCTCGTCTTGGATGCCTGTCTTGTTCTAGCTGAGTCGGCCTTGCATCAAATAGTGATACTAAAGTGATCATGTAAGTTTCAAGTAAACACACATGTATGTGTTTAATTGACTATAAAATAGTGAGGAGCCCCGATTTAAGCTTAAAGTAGGAGGCTGTAGGTTCTCTTTCTCTCTCGCCCTCCAATGAGACAACGAAGACAAACGAGAGCCGAGCTGGAAAGCTGGACTGGGCTGGGCTGGGTGAAAGGCTGTACCCCTGCTATGTCCGCACGAACTAGGATAAACGGCGGCCTTGGAACAGACGGATGCTACTGAGACGCCGAAACAGTTACGCCTGCTCAGGTGAAGTCAGGCCGGCCGGAGTCAGGGCCCGAGGTGGCCGGATGCCGTCCAGGAAGCTGGAAGGTAACGTTTCGGTTCAAACCGTGCCAAAGGGGAAAGGCAGGCAGGCGAGATCTCGAAACACTCATTCCCCGGGCCCTCTACAGATGGGATGCGGACGGCCGTGCTCAGTGTTCAGGTGCCATTTACTGGTCGACACGGGAATGGGGGGCTGCTCTCTCTCCAGCCTGAGGCACTGCGGGTTTCACCTTGTCTAAGTCGCGATGCCACGGAGTAGACCCCTCACACATTCTCTTAGGCATGAGATTCAGCAAAGGGGCTCAGACAATTTTTATGAAAATAAAGTAAGGCAACAGTTCTCCGGTGTTTCTCCTGGTGGCCGAGTTAACCTGGACATTTTCTGGTTCCGGTTTAACCAGTGCTCTGACGCCCACTGCTGCTGCTGTAAATAAAGTTTCACTGGGACACAGCCACGTGGCCGCCGCACATTCAAACCAGAGCAGACGAGCAGCAACATATCTTAAGTTCCGAAAAACGGAACCTGTTTTTTATTTGACCCTTCACGGAAAACGTTTGCCAAGCCACGGCCCCGCTTCACATGACTGCGGCGGTAAGTGCACGTAACTGAAGTGAGTTTTAAGTATGAGATCTAGTAGGACTGAAAAAGCAGTCACCCCATTTGGTGTAAACTTTCTCGTGCCAAGCTGACATGCACTGGACGCGGCTCTATTCCGACTGTTCAGATTCAAGCATGGTGACCAGGCCGCGTGGGGTCCCGGAGGCAAAGGCTCGACAGCCTCACGTTCTCTATTTGCTTTCCCCTCCGTCCACCCTCACCTCAGAGACCACCGTCACCACTGTGCCCTCCTGCGGGAAGCAGCCCTAACAGGTCCTCCTTTGCCTCTTACCCCTAAAGGCCAAATAGAGACAGACGGACAGACAGACAAGCAGACGAGTATCAGGGGGGCCGATGGTTAACAGGTAGGGATACACAGGTAGAGTGTGAAAGGTAAACTGATAGGTGGGTGGACGACAGGTAAGAGCAGAACTGGGGGTCCCCGCTCTTTTTGGTGATGGATGGCAAAGGCTTCCCTTTCCTGCACGACTGCCACGGGGCTTGACGTGTGGGGGTCAGGCGAAGGGAAAGACGTGCCGATCAAGTCAGACACAATCAGCAGGCGAATCCCAAATCGAGAGGTTGTGAGACGCCTACGTCCTGCTCATCGTCCATCAAAAAGTGACATTTCGAGAGCTGGGCAGACTTTGTGTTACGAAAACGCGTGTCACGTGTCTACGACACAGCCTGATGCACACACTGCACCTCGTTTCCATGCCGTGACGATGCAGGACGCGTTATCGATTGATTAAACGTCGTTTCGATCACTGATTCTTTCCAATCTTTTCCATGTCGCCTTTTCTCTGTAACGAAAATCCATTTCCTCTCCAACTTACTGTCTAACCAGAAACACTACGAGAGCAAAACTAGCCACCTGGAAATATGGATGATTAGCTGCAAGACTTTCACGGG